GACCAGGATCCCAAAGGTCTCTTCACCATTGACATGAATTCAGGAGCCGTGTCAGTCAGCCGCTCAGTGGACCGTGAGGCCAGAGACTCCTACCAGGTCAGCATGTGTTTGAGCCGTGTTCAGATCTGCTGGTTTTTCATTGTCTCACTGATTCACAGGCTCCTCCACACATTAACTGTCACTTCCTTTATTTCTCTTTTGTTCTCAAGTTATTAATACGTTTCAATAGTTCAAATAAAGGTTTCTTTAGTGTCACGCTGACACCTGGAAACATATCAGAATAATTATTATTAGTGTCGGTGGTATTTGGATGGTCTTTGTAGTCAGGCAGTTCGTGGCATCAGTCAGAAGCTTGAGGCTTCTTTTATGTTAAAAGAACGTTAGAGTCTGTTTGAGGTGCCCACTAGTGTTTCTGCCCTGGGGGGTTTCAGCCCGACGAAAGCCAGGAAAAGAAGACACTGGCAGAGAAGCTCTGCGTTTTAAGTCAATTGATCTTATCCTGTTTTCTGAAATCAGGCGTAAGTGAGGGTGTTCAACTGGGTGCAAGCTGTGGATTTTTTGAAAAGCCAGAAATAATTCACTCTGTAAATACCAACAGATGTGAGGGGGGGTGGCGCGAGCAGGACAATTAGAAACCCTGATGAAAAATCACATGCAAGCTGATATGCACCATTTTTTTCTTTTGCGCTGCTCAGTTACGCGTGTAGTGGGCAGTAAAATACAGTAGCTGCAACCTGCTTACTGACAAGAGCATCCAGTGATTTAGCTTCCCTACAACTGTCTCCTTAAAAACATGTGTATAAAATATCAGTTTCTGTATTTCGTGTATAAATGATTCCAAATAAATGATAAATGGCCGATCAGCAGTACAGGAAGTAGATGCTGTCATCCTGACTTTAGCAGAGCACGGCTAGTTGCTGGCTTGTACAGACTGCTTCACATCTATAGCACCTTGCTGCATCCCAGAATCCAAAGTATCCGTGGCTACAGGAAGTTTTTAGCTCAACCTTGTAAGATACAACTGCTGGTTGGTTCTGCACTGGTTTGATGCACCATAAGCAACGTGGGATATTTAGTGTGCAGATTAGCAGCCAGGAATCAAACCACCAGCGTTTTCTCCTGAGCCACCTAAGTGCGACTCCTGTCTTCACATCTGCACGAGCGACTCACACCAAGGAGGGGAAATGGACCAGAGTTTGATTTAAATCGTCGTAAGACTTTATGAGACTGT